GTTAAAACCTCCCTGCAGGCAATACTTCCTGCACCCAGCCTCTTTCGCCATTGTTCCTCTGTTGCTTATGGCCATGACTCATAAGAAACTTTCCCTTTCACACACACATTCACACACACAGAGCTTAATCATGTTGTGAAAGTCTCCAAATAATCTTGTTTCTCCCTGTTTGTCTGTTCTCCAGAGAGCCAGAGGGCATACCGTTTTGTCCAGGGAAAGGACTGGGGTTTCAAAAAGTTCATAAGGAGGGACTTCCTATTGGATGAGGCCAATGGCCTGCTGCCTGATGACAAACTGACACTTTTTTGTGAGGTAAGGGTTGAGGCAGTTCATCTGAGCTCAAGGTACTGTATTTGTAAAACAGAGTTCACTTTTAATTTTAAAGCTACAGTATGTAACTTAAGGTAGCACTAGCATGATACTCCATCAATCACCTCAGCTCCTCCCAGCACTCTCTCTTCCTGTTCCACTATGATCTCCTACACTACGCAACGTTCTGCTCAGCTCTTCAGATGTTTGTCCTTATGAATTTACAAGAAATGGGGATGCAACAAAACTTACTAATCAAGCAGCAATAATTGAAAACCTCTGATTGGTTAGAGAAGACAATCCCACTCAAAACCTTTTAGAAGCTAATATCTCTGCACTGCTGCCAGTGCTGTTCAAGGAGTCTTATATATTTCTACAGCAAAACTACTTGAAACAAAAGTTACATACTGTAGCTTTAAGCTCAAAATCTTTCTAAAAGAAGTTCATGGTGAAGGCTGCAGGTATTTTAACAAAATTTCAACCGGCACAAAGATCTATGATTAAACCTTGAAATCAAGGTTGTGATCATACTGTGTTAATAGAACTATTAGGATTACCCCAAAGTATACACTTTTAGTAGCAATTGAAACAGTGAATGCTGTTGAAATATCTAAATTCCTTGTTTGTATTGGCGGCTTTGCCTTGGACCAATCAAAACTGTAATTCTTGTTTCACTCATCTTTTTATTCAACACTACCGCTCATTGTACTGTATGTCCCTGTTAGTGAATAATGTATGTTTTTATTGGTACTACGTAGCCTCTGGGTTTATATCTTTCTTTAATCACTAACATACAAGTTGATTGTCATTCAGCCTGCGTGGTGGCTTGGCTCCGGTTCCTCTGATCCAAAGCCGACTCGTGCTCCTCATTGAAAATTCTCTTGTTGTTTTCCAGCTGTAACACAGGGGGCAGCAGAGGTCAGCTGTCCTTTCTCCCATTCCTCCTCTGCTCCTCATAATGGAGCAAGTGAGCAGGGAAGAGGTTAAACCTTCTGGATATGTTAATGCCTTAGTTGTAATGCATGCACCCATAAATGTTTAAAAAGCATGGCAGTGGCTGTTTAAAGCAATTCTAATTAACCCTGCGGGTATGGAGGAGAGCATGTCTTGAAGTTTTCCCTTTTTGTAGCAGAGCAATGTGCACGTCTATTTAAAGTGCTTCCAAACCAGACTTATTGACAGTGGGGTCAGAGGGGCAGTGCTGCTTCTCCACAGCTGTATGGGATATGGGATATGGGATAGAGTGGCATATGTTTGCTGGAGTATCTTATGCATGTGTGTTTGTGCAGATGTGTCTTATTGGGACGTAATTCTAAGGATGAGACTGTTTGCCAGAGAGAGTGAGCCGGATGAGAGAAGGATTAGTTACCTTGAAGAGTCCTCTCTAGTCATCCACTCTGCTGAAGGGTAGGAGGTGGGGTTGCTGGTTCAAGTCCTCAGTGGCCACTCTGCGGTTCTGAGCTAATTAGCCTGATTAATATAGCACAGTTTATACACAAGCAAACATCAGTGTGCGTAATATAAAACCATTTATAATAGATTTTAGAGAGTAGAAAGTTGATAAAATGCCAGAGAACAATGTGTATTTTTTAAGATTTAAATGTGTGGCCTTGTAACTAAGCATTATCTTTTTTTTTTTTTAACTCAGAAAACATTTAGCACCTGAGAGGTCTACAGAGTTCATATTTTTAAAGCAGGTCATGGATGTGATATACAGGCAGACAGTAGCATTTTAAAATCATCTCTACAACAGATTGGAAGTGTTGCAATAAAAAAAAAAAGAAGGCAATCTGGAAGTGGGGTGTTTTGAGCAATAAATGATGAGGCTGCCAATAGTGAGGTCTGGTAGCTTTTTCCACGAACACGTGGACAGGGCGGTTGGAGGAGTTGGTTATTGGGTTGAGTATGACCGGGTGGATGGTGGTTAGAAACTGTGTTTGAATCTCTTTTCCTGGTCTTTTTCCATGTGAAAGGAAAGCCCAGTGTTTACTGTCAGAGACCTGGCTCCGCTTTTGTCCAGATGGTCTCGTTCTGCATTTGAGCGAGCCCCATCGCCCCAGAGCCCAGCTCTCTCCCTCTTGTCTCTTCTCTCATCTCCTCCACTTTCTCTTCTTTGCCTCCATTTTATCTCTCATTCAAACCCAATCTCCTCCTCTTCCTCTTTCTCTTTCTTTGATCTCATGCTGCCTCCCACTTTGAGCATCACAGTTTCTTACTTTTGCCCCTCACTGTACCTTCACCTCCCTCCCTTATCTTCCCCCCTTCTGCTCAGCCTGTCTACTTGTGCTTCCTCCCTCTTTTTCCTTCATCTCCCGTCTTTCTTCGTCTGTGTAGTAGTGTCAAAGAGGCGAAAAGGCTGTGAGGAGAAGCCATCTCACTGTGGGAGAGTGATACTGGATCAACCTTTCCTCCTGACCCCTAGTCCCTGTGCTCAGTTCATTTGCCTCTGGAGACATTAGTAATTCAGATTAAGCACAGTGAATCTGGCTATGTGTCATGTCAGAGAGGACCTGAACAACACCAGTCACTGGTCTCTCTCTCTCTCTGTCTGTCTCCATCTCTCGTTTTCTCTCCATCCCTGCTAAAGTGCTGCAGACACCTGCAGGTATTTAATGAGGAGATAGCTCCCATTAAAGGTGCTGTGTTGGCTGTCAGAAGAGAGCATGAGAGAGACAGAGAGAGAGACAAAAGGAGGAGAATGAAGAGGTAAAGCCTTCTCAGTAAAAGAGGGCATGCTGGGTGTCTTGAGCCATGGGCTGAAGAACAGACAAAGAAGAGAAATAAAGATGGTACAGAATAAAAACAAAATGCCTACTGTGTATGGTTTGGATTTAATTTTGTTTGAGAAAAAATGTTTTCTTTGGCATGCAACATGCTTTACCTTCCTGTCTTATTTCTCCTCTAATGAGACACAGAGGTAAAGGAAGTTAAATCTTTTCTCTCTTTGCCTGCCAGCACCACAGATAACCTCTTGCTCTAAGGTCAGACAGTTACTTTCTGTCTCTTCATGAATTACCTATTGTAATGCAAATGCCCTGAAAGTTTTCCATAGCAACACACATGTGCGGTCCTTTGGATCCCAGAAAATCTTGGCAACTTTTTTTGCTGTTGTGATTTGCCCACAGGTAGAGACATGTTGACTGCTGCTGTAAGGGCTACTACTCTGGAAGTCTGTTGTGATTGACTTAAGGGAAAAGAAGTTGATGGTGAAATCTGTCAAGAGACTGACGAGTAAAAATTTATTTATATAGCCTGGTTTTACAAATCACAAATTTGCCTCAATGGGCTTCACAGTTTGTACAACGTATGACAATCATGTCCTCAGAAAACTTCCCCGAAATAAACCCTTAAATGGGGAAAAGTGGAAGAAACTTCAGAAAGAACAACGAAGGTGGGATTCCTCAACCAGAGCAGACAGATGTGCAATAGGTGTTGTGTGTACAGAGCACGGTATGGACAATCAGAATGACAGAATAAACCACAGAGTAAACATACAGTATATGAAGCAACTTCCAGATGCCACCAAAGAGACCCAAGCCGCAGGACCTCCTCTCCAGATGATGACCTAGAAAGAGGACAGGCTACACAAACACACAAGAGCCTGTGCATCAAGAGCACCTGTTCTGTGTCACATTGCTGTCAGATCCCAGCAGCGCTTCTTCACTGGTTTAAAAACGCACCGCTTGTATTGGTATTAGTGGTGACAGATTGCTTTGCAAGTATGGACTGATGTTTTCCTTTTCTTTAAAAATTGCATATTCAATAATAGCTGCAGGTATTGTTGTCCACCGCACAGCAAAAAGTGTTAAGTTCCTAATGGGAATTCACTCAAGATGACTACTGCACTTTTATGGCACCTGCTAAAGTTTTGATGTTGCTATAAAGCATCGGTTTTTGCTTAACTTGTTGCCAAGTGCATTAATGCTGTCATATCTTTAAAGAACAGATATACTTTGGAAGAGGAGAGAATGTATATAATTTGAGACAGGGAATAAAATTAGTGATGTAAAAGCCAAACTGGAACCCATTAATTGTTTTTTCCCTTCCACAGTCAGGCTGACTATTCTGTTCCCACAAAAATCACTGTGATTAATTTCAGAATATGCAGAGGAACAGTGACAGCTGATAATGAACGCATTGGCACTGATTTTATTGTCCTTCCATTTAAGTTGTGAGCATTTGCATATTTGGCTGCTGCCTGATTTACACTTAATTTAAGAAAGAGGGGGAAGATAAATAGAGTTTTAACTTGGTGAAAGAGGAAGTTTTATTTTAGAAATACAGTATCTTCTTAAAACTGCACGGGTTTATTAACTAAGTTAGAGCATCTTTATCAGCAGTATTGTGACATGCATTATTTCTGAGTGAAACTGAACGTGTTTGTGGGGGATTATTTATGACACTGGTTTCTAATCAGATTCTTAAGATATGTGTGGATCACTCAGAAGTGGGCATGAATAATGTGAGATGTGGTGCTGTGGAGGAGTGTTGGCCTCTGCCCACACCTCCCTCACCCATATTGTTTGATTAGCAGTAGGATGAGGGCGAATTGAGTAAAACGGACCTTAATCACATTCTTTAAGTATTTGCCAAATTAAATCCAGTAATGCACATCTCCTTCTATGGCTCTAATGTTGTTCCTTATGATGGCCAGTGTTAGCTAGTTGCCCTAAATCAAAATTATTCAGATAAATGTAGGCGTTCTGTAACATATAGTGTAAAGAAAACAGGGATTTTACCACCAAATAGTATATACTGTATGTGCATTTAGCATATACCAACAGATAACTGAACAGTTATCACACAAAGACAAGATTAGTGCTTGGAAAATGTATTTTCCACTGTGGTAAGCAGATGTGAGAGTAAGTTGCATGTGCAAGTCTTAACCTTCTCAAAAAAAGTCCCTCGTTACTGTTGTGAAAATCAAGCAGGTCAAGTCCCTACTATAAGTCAAGCAAGTCACAAATCAAGTTGTACAAAATTCAGATACTTTGAAACACAAC